TTTTTTTTTTTTTTTTTTTTTTTTTGGGAACGGCAGCTCCGTCACAGTCCATGGTATTAAGCTATTCGTGCGAGAGTTATGCACTAAAGCTTTACAGACTGGCAGCTGTTGCAGCCCACGATCATTTTTCTTCTTTTTTTTTTCAACACCTATTATTCTTTTCCTCCACGTTCATTATTCACACCACCATTCTTTTTTTTCTTTTTTTCTTTTTTTTTCTCTTTTTTTTTCGAGACAATCAACTCCCAACTTTCCACGTCAAGTCACCTCACATAATCGACATCAAGCAGAATAATCACTAGCACATTTCAAAAATATAAACAGTTGAAGACCAACTCACTACAAATAAATCACATAAATATCAATCGTCATATTTTTGTCCCTCAAATAACAACACTTCAAGAATTTAACCAGAAATCATTAATCCAAGTCATCATAACTAGCATGATAATTCCAAAAGACACTCAATTCATCATCGCAAAATTCCACATACAAGTAACATATACTCCAACAAATTAAGATAATATATAATATAGAGCACAACTCAACAACTCACACAAATTTCTCACTCTAATGAATCTCCCCAAACTTAGAGTTTGCACATAAGAGAACAAAATACAAAGTAAAAGGAAAGAGTTCACCTTATCAAGAGAAGAAGTCACGTCGCACACCATTGGGTTGCCTCCCAACAAGCGCTTTTTTTATTGTCGTTGGCTCGACTTATTACTCCGCTTTCTTCAAGTGGTCCATGGCGGCTTCATAGGTGGCCTCAAACGAGGCACGAACCTTGCAACTCCATGCTTGTGAAGTATCCCCTCGTCTCGTGTCGGGTGCTTCACCGGATCTTTTCGTCCAGGTGACAAATGATCATGGTAAAAGATTAGCCCGGGATCATAGATAAGAGGAAAAATCTCTACTACCTCCAGAATGTAAGGCTTTTGATTTTCAGCGTGCTCGATTGCTGGTTGTTTGACCTCGAATAGAAGAGACTGATTTTCAGTCATGCTCGGGGCAATTGTCGGAGCTTTTACGTCATTGTCACCTTCGAGTGGGCTGTTATCGGGGGCCCCGATAGCAGTAGTAAATGCTACCAGGTTTTTATCGGGGGGGCCGGTAACAGCGAAAATTCGCTCCTCATCGCCTTCTTCTTCATTCTCTTCGTCGCTTCGATCGTTTATCGGCTCAAAGCTAACTTCGTCCAGCACCTCAAGCTCCGTGTTGCTGCTCATCCTAAGCTCTCCGTCATCATCATGGCTGGCTTCGGCTAGCCGACTCTTGGCTCGGGCATCCAATTCGCTCAATAGATCACCAATCGTTTTGCTACTAGCCATCAAAGAATTTTGACACTCTTCAAGTAACTTCATCAACGATGGACTAGTCTCTTGTTCAAGCGAAGGTTCTGAAAAATATTGTGAGCCTCCATAATGGAATTGAGATTCGTCGTGCTCATAAATAGGCTCATACGATTGGGAGTATTGTGGATTTTCATAGAATGAATTTCCACGATCTCCCCAACCGTAATGGTCCCTATCGAAATTTGAATACGCCCAATCGTCTTGTCGATACCAATCTCTTTCGGTAGCTCTGCGTGCACCATACCTCTCGATCAAAAGTGGACAATCGTCGGTGACGTGACGTGTGGTATGACACAGACGACATGGTTTCCTTAGAACTTGACGAACACTCTCAATGG